ACTGGGAAGCCCTGAAGGCTGAGGAGAGATACTTTATATCGCACGTCCTAGCTTTTTTTGCTGCCAGCGATGGCATAGTCAATGAGAATTTGGTGAGTTCGCTCCCGGAGTAGATTTAAAATAACATGATTCTTGTCGGTGCCAAGAATCGAACTCGGGTTCTTGCTCTTGCCGGGCGGGCACTTAGCCACTGCGCTATTATCCCAGGCGCTAGTCGCTGTCGATTTCCCAGGCTATGGGATCGTCCCATGCTATTTCGCGGGCTTTCAAAAATATCGCGGGATTTTGCGGTAGTATGCAGTATTATTATGAGTATTTATATGCGTAGTATATAAATACTTTGCCCCAAAAATTTAAAATATAAAATATAAGTGTTAATTCTAACATTAAAAGAATATTAAATCAAGAAAAAATACACTTTACAGGATGTATTTCTTTAGTGGATGGTACGTACTGTACCGTACAATATAAGCATCTTGATAAAATTACGTAGGTTTACGAGTTTGGAAAATCGTTAAGAACATTAGAAGTATTTTTAAAACTGGGAAAGGTTTATAAGAGTGTAGGAAGGGTTTATAAAGCCTTTTTTTTTGTTGTGGGGGCCACTCAGGATGCCTCCAGGACAGGTCTGGTTTGACTTGATGAGGGGATTGAACCACGGCAACCTGAGCCTGACTGCTTTGTTTCAGCAGACACTTAAACACCTGAGCTAATGGGCAGGCCCCCTATAAAGCCTTAAAACATATATAAATACTAAAATAAGTGTAAGGTCGCTACTTTGCGGATTTTCACTTATCGCGAGGGTGTCTGGAACGAAGCCTCAGCGATAGGTGAGGGACCGCTGTACATATGCGACTGTTAGCTCCTGTCTTTAGTACGTGGCACTTTCTGTTTTACAATCCACGTTGCAGTTCCTTCTCAGCTATTTCCTCACTGTGGAGGGGCCCTGTGAGCTAACTCCTCCCTCAGAGCGACCACATTTCGCGCCTTTTGTGGCTTTCATGGGTTGCCTGTCTTGTAAATGAATCTTTGAAATGAGTTCAGAATGAATCAGTGCAGTGTTAACAGAAACGTGGGCAGGGCTCCAGCCTGTGATCCTCGTGCGTCGGCCCTGCGTGCTGGGATTACAGGCATGAGGCATGCCCCACCACGCCCGGCAAGCAAACCTTTCACAGTAGTCATTCTGCCAGTGTCCGTTGTCTGACTTGCCTCACCTCAGGCTCTTTCTCAAGTTTAACTTTGATGCCTTTTATTACCACTAGGTGGAGCGATTTAGCCAAGAAGTTCAAATTACAGAAGCCCGTTGTTTCTACGGCTTCCAGATTGCTATGGAAAACATACATTCGGAAATGTACAGTCTGCTTATTGACACTTACATTAAAGATTCCAAAGAAAGGTGAGGGCTCAAGTAGGGTGTCCTGTCTTGGAATCACTATCCTTTTTTGTTGTTGTTGTCTGTTTGAGACAGTTTAGGCTGGCCTAGAGCTCCCTTTGTATCCCAGGGTGGTCTCGAGTTCACCACAGTCCTCCCGAGTGCTGGGATTACAAGTGTGCACCACCGTGCTTGGCAATAATCCTTACTTTAGTCCAAGTGTTTAGTTCCCAGAGTGGTAGAATATGAGTCTAGATGATTTAATGGGATGTCTGTGGACATTTCTAGCACCCATGGCCATGTCTGGGACCCAAGATCACATTTTTTTTTTTTTTTTAATGTATTTAGTGCAGAGCCTATAGGATCTCACTACATAGATCAGACTTGTGATTTTCCTGGTTTCATCCTCCCAAGCAGTGGGATTATAGGCATACAACCATGCCTAGTAGTCACTGTCTCAGTGTGCCCTGGGGTTGGGGACAGCACCACACACCCAGGATGGAACACACCTGGCCACTGTGCTCTGCCTAAGCAGGTGCTTTAGTCTGCTGAGCTATCTGGCTGGCCCCCAAGAGCACATTCTTAGCTGATGCATCAGACAGGTAGTGCTGTGGGTGAGAGTGGTGTAGGTACCCAGCAGGTAGGATGGGGTGATAGTTGACATTAGGAGGTGAAGGTAGCTGAAGGCCTGTTTAATGGGGAAGAGTTTGCTGGAAAGGAGGGCAAATTAGAAGTGGGCAGTGTGAGTAGGCATAGGTACCATGGTAAGTTTTAGCCCAGGAGCTTTGTGTGGAATCATTTAGTGAGGTTTTTACTTTATTATATGTAGTGGTAGCCTTGGGGGTTGATCCGTATGTTAGTCCCTGTTTGGTAGGCAGCACATCTTACCTCTTCACCCCCACTCCACCCTATGTGTGGGGAGTGTCTATTAGCAGAGCAGCTAAGATTTTTAGGGTTCTTCCAATGGAAAGAAGGCAGGGCCTATGTGCTATAATCAGACCTTGAAATAATTAAGCCAACAATACCACAACTGTTGCAGGCTATTTTAGTGTGAGGAGTCCTAGGAGTTTCATATGATTATGATAATTAGTGCAAGTCACATGAGATTTTTTAAATTCTGGAGGGAAACCAGTGGGGCAAAAGGAAAACTCAGTTTGATGTCTTGCTTTGGGGAGCGAATTGGCAAATGTTCCCAGTCTGGCCTCATCCCCAGGGCTTGCACTCAGATGTGTGAGGCTGGGTCTCGGGTCCCTGGCACAGCTGACCTCTGTCCTTTTCTGACCAGGGAGTTTCTCTTCAATGCCATAGAGACCATGCCCTGTGTGAAGAAGAAGGCAGACTGGGCCTTGCGCTGGATAGGGGACAAAGAGGCCACCTATGGTAAGGACACCCAGGCCCCATAGAGCTGAGCCTGCTTTTGTAACCTGGGTCACTATGTGTGCCACAGTCACTTACTGTGCTGTCTTGGGTTGGCTCCCACAGGAGAACGCGTGGTGGCCTTTGCCGCTGTGGAAGGCATCTTCTTTTCTGGTTCTTTTGCGTCAATCTTCTGGCTCAAGAAACGAGGACTCATGCCTGGCCTCACCTTTTCCAACGAACTCATTAGCAGAGACGAGGTGAGTCCAGCCCACAGCCCAGGCTCTTAGGTATAGGCTTGTGTTTCCTGCAGGTGGCCTGGGATATTGGATTGTGTTACAGCCACACTGAATGTAGCAGTTCACATCTCTGTCTCCTGCAAAGAATAAGAGTTTTTTGTAGTACTGGGGATCGAACTCAGGACCTTTGCACTCAGCTAAATCCACAATGCTCTCCTTTTTAAAAAGCCTGTCATTTGAGTCAGGGTCTTGCTAAGTAGCCCAGGTTGGGCTCAAAATTTGAATTCTCTTGCCTCAGCCTCTCAGACTACTGGGATGACAGGCACCTCCATGCTTGGCTTGGCTGTAAAGTGTCCTTGAACTCTTCCAGGGCTTGCATTGTGACTTTGCCTGCCTGATGTTCAAGCACCTGGTGCACAAGCCATCGGAGCAGAGAGTGAAGGAGATTGTCATCAATGCCGTC